TGTTTTCCTTGCTTGAGGGAAGAAGAGGTCTTGTAGCCCACTCTTTTGTGGTCGTAGACCACTTTTCCCGCTTGGAGATTAGTTTTCGGTTTTTAGAGCCTTCGGCCGCGCGCCTTGTCTCGGGACCACTTAACGTTCTCCATTTGGCGTGGTTTTTGAACCACACCTTGTTGCCTTGGCCTAGAGGGCTACTGTGGTTTGGGAGACCACTTTTGTGGTCATAAACCACTTTTGGTGCTCATAGACTAGTTTTCGGGTCTCCCGGCTGCGCGCCTTGCCTCCCAGACTTTTGTCTTGCATTCGTTTTGGTTTGTTTTTGGTACAAACCTTGTTTTCCTTGTTTGGAAGATGGTACAAGGGTGGGAGACCAGTTCTTCCCCTTGGAGACCACTTTTCTTCTCGCCAGCCAGTTTTCTGGTCGGGAAACTGGTTTTCTTGGTCTTTGGGCCACCTTTTCTGGTCGACCACCACACCACCACCTTGGTCTCATGCTGCAGACCACCACTCCCACCTGGCCGACCACTTTTTGCCTTGGCCGACCACTTCCACTGGTCGGCCGACCAGTAGAAGTAGCTGGTCGACCACTTGGCTGCTTTTCACCAACTTCCTGAAGATATTTTCTTTACAGCTGGCACAGCTGGAAGGCACCAAAACCTTGGACCCTTAGCTTCTTTAAGAAGCTTAAGCTTTTGTTCTCTATAAGAGGGAGCCTCTCCCCTCCTCCTCCAGGTTGAGCTTTTTGTGTTAGGGAGTGATAGATACACCTTTATCTCTATATCTCTCTCTTTGTTTCATTTTTGTGCCTAAAAGTGTAGTTTTATCATACTTTAACACACAAACACACACTCAAACACAATCCTTGTGTTGGTGAGGTGCTTTGGGGCTGGTTTTAGAGTTTTTGGATTTTTGAGCTTGAAAAACTTGTTGAAATTGCAGTTTTGAAGGTGGTCTTCAAGGGTGAGCCTTTAACTCCTTAAGCCCTCATTCTTGCTTAAGCTTTTAGACTTATTTGCATGCTGATTTAAGATTACCTTTCTACTACAAAAAGTTCTATTTTTTAGTCCTTGTGATGTTTGTTTAAGGTCACTTTTGTGTTGGGGGTTGTCACTCTAGCATGCTTTTGGCTTAACTCTAAGAAGCTTTTGTCCATGTTTTAGCATTCTCTAGCTCTGATTTGTGTTGTTTTGGTCATGCATGCCATGCTTTGTATAGCTATAATGCATTCTAGCTTGTCAGCTTTGTGCATCAAGTCCATTAGCATGCATTACTTGGACTATTTGACTGATTTGGCATCATTTATAATGTGATTTTAGTCCATGTTTCATGGTCATGCACTTGCATTTTTTACTCTTTCAATGCGTTGGAGGGTTTCCCCCTTTATGCCTTAACATGAGTCATTGCATATGCCTTCATGTCTAAGCTTGCAAGCCATCATTTCAATGTATTTTTGGGTTTATTTTGCCATGATATAACTCTGATTTTTGTTGGTTAAATCATCTCATGCTTAGTCTTGATAGGTGTAGTGTAATCCACCTTATTTGCCTTGCATGATCCATGCTTTGTGCCCTTCATGCTAGCTTGTCTTGGCTTCCTTCCATACATGTTTTAGTATCATTTTGACATGTTCTAGGACTATTTTGGGTTGCCTTGACCATATGTTTCATGTTTTGCATAGTTGTAGTACAAATGCCTATGCTAGTTTCAAGCTTTGGCTACCATAGCATGCTTCATTTGTGTTGTGTACATAATTTGGCATCCTCTAACATGACATTTCAGAGCATGTAGCATTGCCATGTTCCCATTTCATTCACTCTTTAAGTGCCTTTGAGTGTTGTGCATTGTTGCCTTGCTCGTGGCCTAACATGTATGCCATCTTGCCTAGGCCCTTGAGCCTCTATCTTAGCATATTTTGGTCTTTGTTTAGACCTAATTAAGCTCTGTCCATGGTTGGTTCATGCACTTGTGCCATGTATTGCATGCCCCCTTTGTAGTCCTCTTTACTAGCTTTATGCTTTAAGGACCCTTGCATGCTTTGCTTGCTTTGTTTGAATGATTTGGCATCATTTCATACCTTATTTCAGAGTTTATAGTGTTGTTACACTTCCATGTTTATCACTCCTTGAGCACCCTTGAGGATTGTGCTCTTAGGCCTACTTGATAGGCCAAGGCATGTGCATGTTTGCCTTGCCCTTTTGTGCCTTTGTTTTGGTATTATGGCCACTGATTTGGGCATGGCTGAGGTCTGTCCACTTTTGGTTTAATTCCATTTAGCATTGTGTATGCCATGTAGTTCATCGCATTTAGTATGCCATGTTGTTTACATGTTAATTCATCATATTGTTGCATGCCTATGTTTTCTTGCATTGAGTATGCATGCATTAGCATAGTTTGCATGCCATTAGCCTTGTTAGGTTGTTCATGTTGCATTGTGTGTTTGCATGCTTAAGTCATATTGCATATTTGCATACTTGTGTTGCATTGCATTTTTGCATGCTCCATGTTACATAGCATTGTGCATGCCATGTTATGTGTTGCATTGTATTTGGAATAGGTGTTAGTCTAAACACGAGAAACGAGGGACGTTTCATACTTGAAGTGATGAAACGTGCCTCAATTCTCGGTCGCCGACGCTCTTGATCATACATGATAGAGCTCTAGGCATTTATGTGTTTATTTGTGCATTCATTTCATATTGAATTGTGCAACTTCGTCTCTCAGCCATCACGCATTGAAATGCACGATTGGTGGCCCGAGGGTCGAGAACCACACTCCTTTGAGCTTATGAAATGATAGGGAGGGTGGTTGTGCACACATATCTTGCAAATACACTGTCATGCCCTTTCTTGCTCTCTGTTGCAACAATCTGGAGTCTGGCAGCAATAACTGGTCGGCCAACCAGAAAAAGTGGCTGGCCGACCACTTTTTCTGATTCACAGCAAAGAAAAGTGGTCGGCAGGTGGTCTCCCACAGCAACAACTGGTCGGCCACCCTCCCACAGGTCCCCATGGTGTGTTAGAAGCTTTCTGGAGCTTGGTGCAAGGTTCTAAGGACAATTGCAAATAAAGGCAAGTTGGGGTATCACGACGGATTTCTGAACGAGACGACCGAGCATGCGTGCATTCTTCTCCCTCTGAGGCTCCTGATTTATCGCTTTACTTAGCTAGTTTACGCTTTGATTTGTACTTAATTAGTTAATGCGCTTAGCTATTCGATTTGTGTTGTAATATCCTAACTAGTTAACTAGGATTAGTTGATTAGTTTTGTGATGTAATGAGTAGTTTAATTAGCTTAGATTAGCTAGTTAGCTTCTTTTCGAATCCTGTGTCGAGAGGGCCAATTGTTGTAATAAGCGTGCGTGTGTGTGATGCATGTCTTCCAACCTCCATTTCTTTCTCCCTTTTACTTAACCACTTACGATGCTTAGTTTTAGGGCATGTTTTGATTAGCATACTTATGCTTTGCATGCGTACATCCATTCATCTGTATTGTATGCATCAGGCTCGGCGCAACATACTAACTGCATTGCACTTTCAAATACATTTACTTGAATACATGTTCAACAGCATGTTATCAAGTTGCATTTCCCATGACATTCTAGAATAGCCGAGCTTGTTTTAGTCGCATTCTTGCATGTGTTGCATTAGCCATCTTTACATGAACTAGGATCATACATGATTTCTAACTAGTTTTTTGTTTTGGCTCGGAGTACACTGTGAGTATTTACGCTTTAGCATACTGCATGTGTGTTAATGTTTCCATGAAAGTATGCTTGCCATGAGGCTAGCTGCTTATGTAATTAACTGCCTGATTACCTGTGGGTGAAGGTTGGATTGCTTGAATTGGAACAATTCATCAAATCTTCGTTTTAGCCTACTTGCGAGCAGCAAACTCCAAATCATTTTCACAAACAAACATGTAATGTTTTGCTCCAAATTAGGCGATCTAGTCTATACTTGTATGCTGTGCGCATCACGTAGTAAGATTAGCTAATTAACCGAAGTAAGAGCACATGTGTTTTCAAAAACAAAATATCATGCTTAGTACGGGCCGATCTTTGATCGGGCGAGCGGGGGTGCTCATTGCATGACCTTTCCCTCTCGTACCCAAGTTCCGAGGTAACTTTGGTGATGACGGACACGTGGCCTTAGGCACGAGTCAGGGTTTCCTAAATTTCTCAAAAATAAAATATTTAGGTGGCGACTTTGTATCTGGCAAAGCAGTCCATGTTTGGCACTTCTTTATAAAAATCCGTTTTCCAAAACGATTTTCCGAATTTGGACTATTTGGTGATTTATCAGTCTCGCATTGCACTTTGTGAGATTAGATTCAGAACCGTGACAATGAGTCCGAACTGTAGTAGCCTAGAGAACAAAACGAGATTCGCACCCATCGCGCGCAGATATCGGAGAGTTCTCGCGAGGCCCGTCTACACATGCCCAGTCAAATAAATAAATAAATAAATAAATATTGTTGTGTTGGGCTTCATCTTACCATGAGTCAATTGGACAGAGTGACAAACCCTAATAAGAGGAATGTATTGCTAGCCCAATCCCTATCCCTAATTACTTGTCCCGGAGAGGAATACGTACGTGCTTAAATCTTTAGAAAAATTACAAATAAATTTATTTAAAATATGGATTATCTTCCATAGTTTCTGAAGTTATAAATATTATGATATCATAATTGTTAATTGAAATATAATTATTAAAATTTCTAACTACAATTTTATACAATAATAAATTTATCATAATTATTAATTGCAATATATTTCTAACATCATTAAAAATTGTTAATTAACTTAATGATTTATTAATAAAATGAGTAATTTATTATGTAATTTGAAATTTGAAGGTTCAAGATGTAATTTCCAAAACTACATAAGACAATTCTAAGTAAATTTTAAAAGATACATTTATTATTTTATTCTGAATATTTGAATACGTGTTACTTTGGCAAATAGGTGATGATGAAAGATTAGTGGCAAGTTAAGAAAGTTCTTCATGGTGAATGGAGGTTGGATTCCAGTGATCAGAAGGAGGATGGTAGGAAATCAGGATGGATATCGCAAGAAGACAGAGGTGGTTACCATTTTTGTGGACAACATCCCTGAGTCCATGGATGCTAAAGGATTTTTCAATCTTTTTAGAAAGTTTGCTGTGGTCAAGGATGTGTTCATACCAAGGAAGAGGAGAAGAGTATTAGGTTCTAGATTTGGTTTTGTTCGATATGATTGTGAGGTGGCGGCAGAGATGGCAATTCTGATGGTTGATGGTCTGTGGTGTGATAACAAGGCGCTGAAAGTTAAAAGAGCACAGTTTCAAAAACCTCATGCTCTGGGCCACCAAGAGAAGGGGATGCTGAATAGAGGGGATGATGGCAGATTGATGCACCAGCGGCCTCAAAGGCAGCAATGGCAGGGTACTGGAGTTAAGCAATCATATGCAGAAGCATTAGTAAGAGGAGGAGCAAGTGTAAGTGAGAAGATGGTGATTAGAGCTTATGAAGAAGAAAACGGTTGGCTTTTTGAAAGTTTAGTGGTGAAGTTGAGTAGCTTTTAGCTGTGGAAGATTTTAAAGCAGAACTATATAATAGGGGAATGAGGGATGCGATTGCTAGGGATAATGGAGGAAGAATAGTAGTGCTAACTTTTAATTTTGTTCAACAGATGCAGGAAGGGAAGGAACAAATAGGTAGGTGGGGTAAGAAGTTATGTGATTCAGTTGAAGAGTGGGGGAAGAGCCAATTTGAGGACCAAGAGAGATGTGTCTGGTTAAATTGCTTTGGCATCCCAATTAATCTTTGGAGTGTGACGACCTTCAGAAGCATTGGTAGCCATTGGGGGTCTGTAGTTTAATTCCAAGAAGATATTAATAGCCCACAAAATTTTTAGCATGGAAAAGTACGTGTAATCACAAGGTGCATGGAGTTGATTAATTCGGTAGTCTTTTTGGAATTCAAAGGTAAATATATACTAGCAAGGATCTGTGAAGAACTTCTAAAGTGTTTATTTCCTAGTCCCAATGAAAGCCGAGGGAAGGAGATGCAGCAGCTGAAATCCAAAGGCAGTGAGACTGTGGAGGTGGATCAGGTGTCTGGTAATGGTGGTAAGATAAAGTGTGATTACAGAGGTACTGTAGCAAGGAAGAAGGAGGTGGTAGGTGAAGATGATGAGGTCAGTAAGGTTCAGGAAACAGTGGCAGGTAGATCAGAAGAGATATGTAGGGGATATGATGGGAAGTATGCACCAGCCGAAGCTATCATAGGAGTTAGCATGGGAAATGGTAAGGTAGGCGCTGGGTCTAAAGAAGAGGGTATGCTTTTGGAAGTCAACTCATAAGAGGTAATGATGAGCAAAATTCAAAAATTGGATGGGGCTGTTGACAATACTGGACTTGTACGTGCTATGAGTGGGCCGGAGAGGGTCACACCTAATATAAATTTGGAAGTACTACTTGAAGGCCTGCAGGTTGGGCCTGAACCCAGCAGATTAAATGTGGGGATAGGCTCGGATTTGAGTGACTGTGAAGATTGGAAAATTGTTGGGTTTGCAATGCCAAGGTCAAGAAGATGAGCTAGTCAACAAAATAGTGGAACTTGCAGAAAATGATCTACAAAGAATTGCAGGTGAGGAAGGGACAGTCAGACCTTAATAGATTGCTAATAGGTGACTAAAAGGAAAATATAAGTTTATTATGCAGATTTTATCTTGGAATGTCAGAGGGTTGAGAAGGCCACAAAAGAGGGGCAAAATAAAGAATTTGGTGAAGGATAGAAGAGTGGATGTCTTACTTTTACAAGAAACAAAAAGGAATTCAATGGAGGAGCATTTTGTGAGATCCATGTGGCCTTTTGAAGAGATGGGTTATATGATGGTGGATTCAGAGGGAAATGCAGGAGGGTTGCTGTGTATCTGGAGGCCACAAGTTTTTGAGCTAAAAGACTGCTGCAGCAGTAAGCATTTTATTATACTTTCAGGTACCTTGGTTCAAGACTTTGATTGTGTGATTGTTAATATATATGCTCCAAATGAAGTGTTGAAGAGGAAGAAATTATGGGAATCTCTTGTGTACTTACAACCCCATTTTCCAAACCCATGGTGTGTGGGTGGTGATTTTAATGAAATCAAATTATTGTGTGAGAGGAAAGGGTGTTCAAGAAGAGAGAAAGGGATGAAGGAGTTCAATGAGTTTGTGGACCAGATGGAGTTGTTTGACCTGCCTATGTTAGGCAGACAATTCACTTGGTGTAATGCATTGAAAGGGGATAGGTGGAGTAGGATAGATCGTTTTTTGTTAGACTCCCTATAGCTGGAAAAGTTTTCATTTAATCAATGGGGCTTATCCAGAACAATTTCAGACCATTCTCCAATTTTGTTGAAGGAAGATGATAGGGATTGGGGACCTAAGCCATTTAAATTCATTAATGTTTGGACATCACATCCTACATTCTTGGCTGAAATCAAGGATATTTGGGAGGTCACACAGGTTACAGGGTGGGTAGGGTACAGATTAATAAGAAAGTTATCCTTTCTAAGGAATCATTTAAGGGTGTGGAATAGGGAGGTGTTTGGTAATATAGACACTAAGCTGAGGTTAGCAGAACAAGAACTACATGAATAGGATTTGAAGACAGAGACTAGACCTTTGGATGAGCTGGAAACAACAAGAAGAAGAGACGTTAGAAGTCAGGCTTGGAAGCTTAGTAGGAACAAGGAAAGAATATGTCATCAGAAGTCTAGAATGTTGCGGGCTAGGTGTGGTGACAAAAATACTAGGGGTGTGTTTGGTTTGTGTTTGTAGAGTAGTTTTTGAGATAAAAAGTACAAAACTTGTTTGGTTTGCCTTTTTTCAGAAATGGTTTTGGAAAATTGTTTTGGGAAGAGAGTTTTAAAAAAAGGCAGAGATTGAATTTGATAGATTCTGTTACAATGGAGGGAGTGAGACATGAGGATCCAACTCAGGTGAAACAAGCAGTGGTTAGCCATTCCAGAAAGCATTTTGTTGAAAATTAGACTTTCAGGCCACAGATTTCTGGACCTTTCGCTACTATTTCTGCAGAGGCAGCAGTGGGTTTAGAAGCAATGCTCACTGAAGATGAGATTTGGGTAGCTATTCAGGACTGTGATAGGAACAAGGCTCTTGGCCTAGATGGTTTTAACTTAGCTTGCATTAAAAAATGTTGGAAAATAATGAAAGGAGATACATTGCAAATACTGTATGAGTTTCACACAAATGGTAAGCTATCAAGGGGTGTTAATAGTTCATTCATGGTGCTCATCCCCAAGAAGGACAATCCCATAGGCTTAGGAGACTATAGACCCATCAGCTTCGTTACCTCAGTTTACAAGATTTTGGCCAAGGTGCTATCTAGAAGATTAAAGAAGGCCCTTCCCTCTGTGATAGATGAAGTGCAGTAAGCTTTTGTCAGTGGTAAATATATCCTAGATGGGGTGTTAATAGCAAATGAAGTTGTAGATTAGTGGAAAACGTCTAAGAAGACAGGCATTATCTTAAAATTGGACTTTGAGAAAGCCTATAATTCAATAAATTGGGTATTCTTGTTGGCAATGGCGAGAAATTTTGGATTTGGTGACAAATGGATTAGGTGGATGAAAGATTGTATTTCTATAACTATGGTGTCAGTTCTTGTTAATGGTGCACCTACAAAGGAGTTTCAGCCACAAAAGGGGTTAAGGCAAGGGGATCCTCTTTCTTCATTCTTGTTCATTATTGCTGCAAAAGGGCTTAACCTATTACTAGCTAGGGCTAAAGTACAGGGATTATTTAGGGGTGCTAATGTTGGTTCCAATGATGTGAGTGTCTCACATCTTCAATTTGCTGATGATACTATTATATTCTATGAAGGGGATAATGAGGATATTTTGAACATTAAGAGGGTGTTGAGATGTTTTGAAACGATGTCTGGGTTAAGGATTAATTATCACAAAAGTGTAGTGTGTGGAGTGGACTTTCAAGAAGATCAAACTGAGGAGTTTGCAAAGGTTTTGGATTGTTTAACTAAGAAATTACCTTTCTCTTTCCTAGGCTCCCTTTAGGAGCCAATCCTAGGAAACAGAGTACTTGGAACCCAGTTGTGCAGAAGGTGAAGAAAAAGTTGTCCTCTTGGAAGAGGAAGCTACTATCTTATGCTGGGAGGTTAACTTTGATCAAGGCAGTCCTTGCTAATTTGCCAATCTATTTTCTTTCTCTCTTTAGAATGCCTAAGAGTGTTGTTAAAGCCTTAGTCAAGTTGCAGTCATCTTTTCTGTGGAAAAGAATGTTAATAAAAAGAAAATGCACTTGGTCAAATGGAAGGAGATCACAAAAAGTAAAAGTCAAGGAGGTTTGGGTCTGAGAGATTTAGGAGAGGTGAAAGAATGCTTGTTATTAAAGTGGTGGTGGAGGTATGGCAATGAAGATATAGCTTTATGGAAAACTGTGGTTTGTTCGAGGTATGGTAGGAATGGAGGAGGTTGGCTTCCAGCTCTGAGCCTTTCAGGTGGGATGTCCATAGTTTCGTTGGACATTGTGAAACTTCTCTTAGTAAATCAGCAATTGGGTGAGTTCTATGGTGATCATTTTAGAATTAAGGTTGGAAATGGAGGGAGAATCATGTTCTAGCAGGATAAATGGCTTAACAATAGAGATCTGCAGGTTCAATTCCCCAGACTCTATAGTTTATCCACTGAGAGAGAGGAGACCCTTCAGCAAATCAGTGCTAAGAAAAGAAATCTAAGGTTGTGGCAGCTTAAATTTAGAAGACAGTTATTTGTATGGGAAGCTAAGGAACTGCAGAGATTGATGGATCTGTTGGAAACTTCTACATTGGTGAGGTCTGATTGTGTTGATTGTTGTTCTTGGTTAGCAAATAGCTCAGGTCTATTTTCAGTCTCTTCTGTGAGAAGATGGTGGGATGCTACAATAGGGACTGGTCAGGTTGTGCCTAAAAGGGTATGCGTTGGTTTAGCCCCGCCAAAAGTGCAATTCTTTTGCTGGTTGGCTTGGAGAGGCAAAGTTAAGACTGCAACCTTTCTTCAGAGGATTGGGGTGCTACCTGTATCAGCAGATAATATGTGTGTGTTTTTCCAAGCTAAAGTGGAATCCTTGAATCATGTGCTCCAGTTTTGTTCACTAGTGTGGAAATGTTGGTCTCAAATGGTAAGATGCAGTGATCAGGTTTGGGCACTCCCTGGATCTGTTCAGGGCCTTTTACAGTGGTGGTCTGCTGGTAAGAGTAAGCACTGGGTTTCTAGATTATGGGAGATAGTTTTATCTGTTATGTTATGGTCTGTATGGAGATTGCGAAATGAATGTAGGTTCAAAGGGGCACAACCCATTTTTGATGATTTTTGTGATAAAGTAAAGGTACAGATTGCTTTGTGGGTAAAATGGAGTTTGAAGGTTTATTATTCAGTTGATGATATTGTTTGCAATTTCAATCAAATTAGGTTGTCTATTCAGGCCCTCTGTAATTCTGCTTTAGGTTATCTACTTCAGGGTGTCTGATTTAGCTACTTCAATGTGTGTTACTGGATACTCCAATGGAGGCTTAAATGGTCTGGACTATTATGCTGGTGGGTTTGTTTATCAATGCATGGAAGCAGAGCTCTGTTTGGTGTTGCAGGTGTGTTCTCAGAGTTGTTCTGGTGATTGATTGTTTTGTTGAGTGCTTATCAGATTCTGGTTTTTCTCTGAGGTGTTTTTTATGGTGGAATACAACTGATGGGTATTTTTTTTGGTGGAATGCAACTGTCTAGTGAGGACTGCAACTGGTTTTTGGTGGTATGCTGCTAGGTAGCTCTTTTGCTGGTCTGCAACCGAGCTGGTCTACTGCTAGGTAGCTCCTTCCGGTGCTGCTCTGTTGTGCGGATTGGTTGCTGTTATGCTGGATGTTGTGTGCTGTTATGCTTGTTTGTTGGCTGTATGGGATGAATGTCAATGTTTAGGTGATTGATTGGGCTGTATGCTGGTCTGTGTGCTCTTATGCTGTTTAGAGTTGCCTCAGCTACTTTTATCTGGCCTTTTTGTTTTCTTTTTCTCTGCTGGTTGTTGTGGCAGCATCTTTTGCATTCCTTTTGTTGGTTCCTCACCAATTGGCGCTTGGAGCTTCGTGTTAGCTCCAAGCTCCTCTTTATTGATGTATCTTATCATACATTGTATATTTTCATCAATAAAGATTTATTTGCCGATCAAAAAAAAGGTGATGATGGAAGAAAATTCTACTTCAATTATAATTAATGGGTTGGGCCTCTTATACTTTAGAAGAATTTTATGATACATTCAAAAAATGTATGTATCATATGTTTTTGTTATAATTTTTACGATATTTAATTACAACCTGTGATCTTGTTTATAACATACTATACACTTTCTTTTGGAGGTGGGTACATAGATTTATTTTCAATGAAGGGTTAAAATTGGTATGATCATTGGATTGGGCCTCTTTAACTTTTTGATTATATATTATTGGGCCAATCCATAACTATTAATGTTGTATTTGATTGGGAGATTTAGGAAGAGATTTGAAAAGGAAAATGAAAAAAATATGTGAAATTAGGAGAAATATATGTATGTTTTATTCATATTTTACCTATTTTTTTTATTTTTATTTCAAATCCTTACTCAAATTCCTCAACCAAATACCGTATAAAGATACTCGAGTTGGGAAACGAAGCTAGAAAAACCCTACTGTTTGAAAACCACCTAACTCTAGAAGATTTCACAGCCTTGACAGGTGCCTCCATGTGAAATCAAATATGCATAATATACAATAATCTATCATTCATTTTATTTATTTATTTTCATTTTTAATAACAGTCCAGTTGTTCAAGGTGTTATATAGTGAAACAATCTAGCCAATTGTTATTCAATGTTAATAATTCTGAACATGTTCACTTTGTGAGAAATATCCTTCAACTTGCCCATTCTTGAATCTTGTCTACTTTAGTGAAACAATCTAGGGAAAAGAAATTTTTATTTTTAATTTCATTTAGTGATTAAGCTTTCAGTTCAAAAGTCAACAGCTGTGAAATCAAATCCACACAATATATAATATCTATCATTCAGTTTTTTTCGTTCTTAATTATAAGGATAGTTGTCTACTTTTCAGTACAGTTTGGAAAGGTGTTATTTAGTGAAACAATTTAATCAATTCTTATTCAACTTTTATTAATTCTAAACATGTCCACTTTGTGTGAAATACCATTTAACTTGTCCATTTTTAACTAATTTAGTGAAACAATCTATGAAAAAAAATAAATTTATTTTCATTTTGAATTAGTAACTAATCTTTTAGTTCAAAAGTCACCATCTCCCTATGAAATCAAATCTACACAATATACAATACATCATTCAATTTTTTTGGTTCTTTAATAACAGGTCCTGTTGTTCCCTTTCCGGTACCATTTGGGAAGGTGTTATTTAGAGCATCTCCAACCCTGAACTTCTTTTGTCATCAAATCTGATGAAAAAAATGATGCTTTCTTCAATTTAATACCACTGGCTCCAACGCTTCACTTTTTATCAAATTTGTTCCGGGGACAACCGGTTGGTCGACCGGTAAGAGGAATTTTTTTTTTTTCAACTGTTTGAACCAATTTTTTTGAACTGTTTGAACCCTATGATGGTCGACCGGTAAGGAAAAAAAAAAATTTAACTGTTTAAACTTTTTTTTGGAAGTATTTGAACCTTTTGGTGGTCGACCGGTTCGTCTCCCCCAACGGTCATGCACAGTGTTTTGGTGAAATGCGGAGCCTGTCCTCACTTTGGTGAAACGTTTGGCGAATTCTCGATTTGATATTAATTTGGTGAAACCGTTGGAGCTCCAAACAGTGTTTTTTTCACCAAATTTCAAATTTGATGACAGGTTTGGTGAAGCGTTGGAGATGGTCTTAGTGAAACAATCTAACCAATTATCATTTAGTTTTTACCAATTCTAAATGCCATGTCCACTTTGTGAGGAATATACTATTCAACTTGTCCATTTTTTTTCTTTCTAATTTAGTGAAACAATCTAGGGGGAAAACTTCAAATTTTCAATTAATAAACTAATCGTGTGAAATCAAATCTGTGCAATATAAAATACGTCATTCAACTTTTTATTTTTATTTTTTCATTGTTAATAATAAGTATAGTTATCCAGTTTCTAATACAATAATTTGGTAAGGTGTTTTTTATTATTATTTATTATTATATATGTATGGGTGGTAAGGTGTTATTTAGTAAAATTGTTATTCAATATTTTATTAGTTCTAAATAACATGTCCACTTTGTGAGGAATATTATTCAATTTGTCCATTTTTGTCTAATTTATTGAAACAATCGCAAAAAATAAATAAATAAATAAAATTAAATTTTAAATTAAATTTTTAGAGACAAAAATTTAGAGACAAAAATATTTTTTAGAGAAGAAATATTTTTAACAACAAAATTGGACATCTAGTGGTTAATTAAGATATTTTTTTAACCAATTTTTTTTTTCCTTCTCAAAACAGAAACTCTTTTGGCACCAAATTGTTTTGTTCTTGTATTTTTTAGCTGTGTTTTTAAAATTTTGTAGTTAGAGTTTATTTTCGTTCTCAAGACAACCTTTTAGATTGTGACTCTCGTGATAATAAGAATTGATTTCCTAATTTTTTTATAACAAATTTTTTACTTTTAGAGACAAAAAATTAATTTACAAAAATTCTTTTCCAGATGAAACTTATCACATCATTTTGTTTTCTTGTTTGTACTTAATGAATGGAAGTTCCGAAAAATATATATATATATATATATTTTAAATTTAACATACTCGAATGACTTAATAACAATTGCAGGCTGCAAGTAAAGCATGACCAATGCATATTTATGTATATCTATATATAATAAAATTTTGGGATTATGAAACAAGAAGTCGTAGGAGTAGAAAGAAGACAAAGTGCAGTGCAGACAAACTTCTGGTAGGTTGATCTACCACCAATCCATGATGTGATATTTTTATTTCAACAATTTTATTTTTTTATTTTAATTAAAATTACATTTTAAAAATACAACTTCAAATTTAAATTTATATTTTGAAAAAGGCACCCAAGTCACAGATCCATTTTTAAAGCTTTTAAGTCAATAGACCAAAACTTAAATCTTTTTAGGCAAAAAAAAAACAATTATTTCTTCAAAATGACACATATTTGTTCAAAGTTTACTTATCTATTTTATGTATCCAAATGTTATTAATCTGTTCAAATGTCTTACTATCTATACACATGTCAAATGTTATTTAACTATCTATTTACCTCATTCACTACTACAAAAACAGATAAAGATCACACTTTTTTTGTGTGATATATGTTATTTAATCTCACCTTTTAAGTTTTATTAAAGTGTGATCTTTGGGAGTGTGATTAAAAGTGGTCATTTTTAATCACACTTTTTAAGTATGATTAAAAATATTTAGATCACACCTTTTAAGTGTGATTAAAAATATTTTGATCACATCTTTTAAGTGTGATTAAAAGTATTTAGATCACACCTTTTAAGTGTGATCTTCGGAAGTGTGATTAAAAATGGTCATTTTTAATCACACTTTTTAAGTGTGATTAATAACATTTCGATCACACCTTTTAAGTGTGATTAAAAATATT